GCCTGCGTCTGCCGCCGCTGGCGCGACTGCGTCCCCTACCTCCCGGCGCTCTTCTTCCCGCGGAACGCCTTCGACGCCGCCGCCGTGGGCGGGGGCGCCGCGGACGAGGCCATCGGCCGGATGGTGGCCGCCGTCTCGCGGCTCAGGGAGCTGGTCATCTACTGCCCCTTCTCCATGGCCCGCCTCCCCGCTTGGCTCGCCATGCGGAGCGCATCGCTCCGGGTGCTCGAGCTGCGGATGGACGCGGCCGCCGACAAGGAGGCGGCGGGCGGCGGTCACCTGGACTGCGTCGCCCTGGCGACGGGTCTGGAGGAGCTGAGGCTCTGGGGGGTGCTGATGACCAACGCGCCGGCGTGGGGCCGGCTGCAGCAGCTCCGCGTGCTGGAGATCGTGGGCGCGCCGCTGCGGGATACCGCGATCACGGAGACCGTCGCCGCGTGCCCCAACCTCACCGACCTGTCGCTGCTTGGCTGCGACTGCTCTGGCGATGTATCCATCCAGCTCTCTATGCTCCAGCGGTGCCGCCTCGACTTCCTCGGCGGCGGCAACTGCTCGCTCTTGCTCTCCGCGCCCCGCCTCGAGTCACTCGAGGCCCAGGGCTTCACCTGGATCAGTCTGCGGGGCGGCCACAACCTCCGCCGCCTATCGATCGCCAAGAGCACAGGTGCGCAGCATACCTCGAAATCGAGATCGATTTCGAATCATCTGCCGCATCGTCATAACTTTGCAAGATTGTGTTGTCCGGATGCAATAAATCATGTCGTGAATTGTGATGAAAATGATGCAGGGAGGGTGTATAAGGTGGACACCGGGAGGCTCCCAGATCTGGAATACCTCTCGCTGCGCGGTGTCCAGTGGAGCTGGGCCGCCGTCAGCTCGGTGTTGCAGTGTGCGAGCGAGGTGAAGCACCTTGTGATGAAGATTGAATTCTGCGGTGATTTTGATGTGCTCCAGCCGTTCCCAGAGATCGATTTGGTCGATTTCTTCAACGGCCACCCCAAGATCACCAAGTTTGAGATCCATGGTGCCATGTTTGCTGCTCTGTGCCAGAAAAACAGCCTGAAAAACGTGAGTGGCACGCCGCCTTTATTGCTCTATTGTAACATCATATACTAATATTAGCATGACTTGTGTGACCATGGTTAATTCCTGTGATTTCTCAATGAAGTTGGATTCAAGGTTCTGCATCCCTTGCTTGGAAGAGCTTTTGATCACGGTGCGCTCGCCTCTCAATGCTGAACAGAAGCTGAGCACTCTTGAATCGCTTGTGAAGTACAGTGTCAAGCTCCAGTCAATGGTCATCCGAATCTCACAGATGAAGAATTGCCATGATGCTGCTGACGATTTCTTTGAGGAGATATGTAAGTTCAAGTACATCAACTACAGGAAAGTGCGGATTGAATAAAAGGAGACCCTGTGATTTATTCTTCAGTCAATTTGATTGAGGACTTCATTTTTTTACCATATTCCCTGATTTTGATTGTTGTCATTACTGGAGGATGCATGTTTAGCCCTCTTGAATAACTTTGGAGTTGTGTTGTCTAGTTGATTGATATTCATCTAGTCGATGGTTTGATGACTAGAACTTGTTGAAACAATTTTGATTAAATAATTGAGGACTTCATTTTTCCTCGTCATATACCCTGCTTTGAATTATCCACATTGTTGATGGAGGATGCCTTTTAGCAATTTTAAGTAATTACTAAAGTTATGTTGTTTACATCATGTATTCATGTTCATCTGGTTGATAGTGTGGTGACTACTCCTCCTGATAAGACTATTTTGATTTGGTCGATGTACTTGGAAGCTCCTCAAACATTTCTATCCTTATTGAACAATTTTGTGCATGGAAACTCTTATACATGAACATCAGTGCGTGTATTAACTTGATTCTTTTTATTTTTCACTATTTATCGATTTACCAATTTAGATCCATTGAGATGACTTTACATTCCATGGCTGTTTATTTTGGAACAATTTAGATACTTGTGAATTTAGTATATTTCTGTTAGAATAGTTTCTCCGTGGTCTGCGATGAGTATATGCTTACCACTAGGGAAGTCTCTACGGAATACCAAAAGAGTAATGTGTACTCCCTTTGTTACGAAATACTTGGAAGTTTTAGGTTTGTTCCTAACTCAAACAATTTTAAGTTTGACCAAGTGTATAGAAAAAATATTCTAACATCTAAAACATCAAATTATTCTCAATGTTTTATCATAAATATATTTTCGTACTATATATGGTTATTATTGTAGATGTTGGTATATTTTTCTATAGACTTGGTCAAACTTAAAGTTGCTTGACTTGGGATAAACCTAGAACTTCAAATATTTTGAGACAGGGGAGTATATTCTACCCAGGCATCACTCCAATTAAGTAACAATAGCCCTGTGGTTGGTTTTGTTGTTCTGTCAATCATTGGTAGTAATCACTTGGATACCACCAAAAAGATGTGAATTCAGTTTTGATTTTGAATTATGCAACAATATTAAAACATCGAATCTTCTGGATTACAATTGCACTCCAATTTAGGATATAAATAGTTTTGTGCTTGGTTTTGCAAAAGAACAAAAAAAACTATCTATTGTAGGTGGTGATCGGTGGTCACCACCAAACATATGTAGATTTAGTTTTGATTTTAAATTCCACAAATGAATTAAAGTTCACATACTGAATGGTAATCTCCCAAATTATAACTGTACTCTAATTTAGGAAACAAAATAGCTCTATGCTTGTTTCTGTTATATCTTGTCAATTATTGGCGGTAACCGTTCGAATTCCATTAGAAAAGATGTGAATTTAGTTTAGGTCTTGAATTCTGTAGCCAAATTAAAGTAGTCACATATTGAATGTTGAATCTCATGGATTCCAACTGTAGTCCAGTTTAGAAACAGAATGGCTGTCTGTTTGGTTATGTATTTTATTTGTCAATTATTGGAGGTAACTGGCCAGATACCACCAAAAAGATGTGAATTCAGTTTCGGTCTTTTTCTTTTTGTGGGGAATTCAGTTTGGTCTTGAATTAGGTAGCTAAATTAAACTAATCAAATGTTGAATATTAAATCTTTGTGTTCCAATTATGCTCTAGTTTAGGAAACAAAATAGCTTTGTTATGATCCTTTTTCGCGTTTATGTTTTGTGCTAACTGCTCGTCAAGTGGTGTTGGCGGTAACTATTGGAGTGCCGCCAAAAAGTTGTCAATTTAATTTTTATTTTTAATTTCGTAACTGGATTAAACCAGTCACGCGTTGAACCTTTTTTTGCGGGGGTCACACATTGAATGTTGAATCCCTTGGATTCCAACTATATTTTGGATATCTCTGTTCAACATATCAAATCTTCATAAAAACGTCCCCTACCGACCAGGTGAGCCCTTCACTCAGTCCAATAGAGAAATGCATACATAAATGATGATACATTTTCATGAAAAAGTTCTACTAGCAATAATTGGTTTACACCTCAACAAAAATAATACAAGGTGCAATATTGAAAGTTTTTCTCTCTCTAGCAATATGGCCCATGTTAAAAAAAATTGCATCTCTATTCCCCCATCTCTGCAACATAGCAGCAAAGAGATGAAGAAAATCCATGATATCCACCATTGGGTCCGCTGTTTCGCCGTCCACAGCTGCAGCTTTAACTATAATGGAAATTTGACCGCCAAAAAATATATATCAGCAGATGAAATTACTGACCCATCGGCTCGTAGGTGTATTACTTTGCACCAGTTATCCCGAATTTCTACCGTAAAAGGAAGGTATTCTGAAATTCTTCCTTTTGTGAGTATTCCGCACTACCTCCGCAACTAAACATAAGACGTTTTTGAACTGCAAACACGCCTTATATTTAGTTATAGAGGGTGAATGTGCTTATAGTTAAGCTCGGCTCAAACCTCCGAGCTGAATCGGAGGGCAAATGGAGCCACAACTCCACGGCCCTGGAGTGAATTACCCCTACTTAAGCTTTCTTCTCTTTCTTAATTGACACCCTTTGCTGGTCAATCTTTTGCTTCTTTGCCTTCGAAGTAGCGAACAACTCGACCATGGATTTTCTGAGCCGGCCGGGCATTTGGCTCAGGTTTCTGCGTCAAAGGGGAAATGATCATGGATTCACCAATGCAAATGATCATTCCAAGAGTGAAATCAGATGAACCATGGTTCCTGTTCACTCGAGCATGCTCTCTAGCTTCGCGATCAAATTAACGTACCTCGCTCACCGACTCCATCATCTTGATATGCTCCTTTGATACGTGTTTCACCTGGCAGATAATTCAACGGCCGGTAATACACTCTCATGCTAAACAAAAGACACAGAGTAATTATTCGGTGCACGTACGTACCTTGCTCAGGATGTTCCAAAGAACCCCTTCGGTGCAAGGCGGAGTGGTGAGGGAGCCGTCGTATCTGTAGTAGCTCGAGGCCTTGTCGACCCAGACGGACGGATCAACGGGCTCCTTCACATCCTCGTTCTCGTTGTACTTGCCGGCGAGCCTCTTGAAATATGGCGCCAGCTTCATCAACATACACGCATATGTTATGTCAGCAAATTAAAGCTCACACCGTGAATTTTTGCATGGGGAGGCACGTACGTACGTACATCAGTCAGCGTCTTGTCGGGGTCGCCGGCCTCTTTGGTGGAGTAGAGCACGGAGACGACGGCGCGCGCCTTGCTGGAGTCCTCGTGAACCATGTGCAACTCCATGTCGAACCTGTCCTGACACCGCTAGCCAGTAAGTGCGTCTACAGCCGGACATTACTAATTTGAACCTTCAAACGCCCGCGGACACAACCGGACAGTAACCGGAGTGTACGTTTTGACTCCTCATATTTGCTGTCAAATAACCACGCCCCTCAAATTCTTCTATCATTTTTCCAGTCATTCCGTCGAGCACATCGGTGTACGTACGAGGCCAGCGGCTGCGCCAGCGAGTGGTTGTGGCCAGCGGATGCGGCGGCTAACAGCTAGCTAGCTAGCACGCTAGCACGGCTATGGGAGCATGGCGGCCAGCTCAAGCACGCACAGCTGGGTGAGTACGCGACCGCGACGGCAGTTGCTAGCACAACGGACATGCCGTGCTCCGGCCTGGGCGCGCACGAACTCCGGCCTGGGCGTGCGAGAGCTTCGGCTCGGCCGCGGCGCGCGAGAGCCCCGGCTCGGCCGCGGCGCGCGCGAGCTTTGTCCCCGGAGCGCACGAGCTCCGGCCTGGGCACACGCGAGCTCCATCCACGGCGCGCACGAGCTCCGGCTTGGGCACGGCGAGCTCCATCCCCGGTGCGCACGAGCTTCGGCTCGGCCACGGCGCGCGCGAGCTCCGTCTCTAGCGCGATGCAAGCTCCGGTGGCCTTCCTCCCTGATGCGGGCGAGTCCAGGCAGCCTACCTCCCCGCAGCAAGGCGCCGTGATCTTCTCGGCGCAGTGCCTGCAGGTGGGCCCGCAGCTGACGTGGAGCACTGCCCGGGCGTCGGGCAGTCTTATATTGCCTTCGTATTTGAGACGGGTGTAAGGTATACCGGTTAGTCCAGACGTTTAGTGAGGAAGCGATGAGTCCGATAGAGTCATTCTTTTAACCGGGTACTGACCGAACTGAGGTTTCGAATATTTTGAAGGGAAATTCTGTTACGAACTATCGATGTTGTGCTCCCTCTGGCATGGATGCTCACCTGGTGCCATTGGCGGTGTGCTCCGAGGGCACGTGCCAGTGCACCTGCTGGAGCACGTAATCCTTCTTCTCGATCGTCAACTTGCCATTCCCACCTTTCCATTGCAGCTACAAGACGACGACCACAACATTCATTTCTTTTCATTATACACAAGTAAAAATCTATCTTCGACAACAAGTACTCCCTCCGTCCGAAAATACTTGTCCGAGTATTTCCGGACGGAGGGAGTATACGTATACTGGTAAGGATTGTAGGGGTTTTGGAGAAGGAATTACGATGAAGTCGTGCCCGCGGTTTTCCAGTGTGCAGGCGCTTAACTTGTAGGTCTGCTCTAGAGGGCCCATGTCCTTGTTGATTTTCACCTTGCGGATGTTGATCGGGGACTGCTTCTTGCCGTCGCCACAGGCAGCCCATCCCTTATTCAGCTTGGCCCATTTGTCGGGCCCAGTTGGGTCTTTCTCCTTGTAGTTGAACAGAGCGTCTGTGCCAGCCAAATTAAGCATGGGCGTTACTAATTTCAAAAATAAAAACACGGGCGTTACTGATTTCGAACGACTATTCCGAGAAGAAGTCACATGCAAATTGCAAGCGAGTAAAAAACAAACGACAACATGCTCAAAATTTAAAATGGGCTTTGGACAAAAAAAAAATCAGATATAACATTGGTTTTTGAACGAACAATTAAGAAACCAGAAGAACATGTAGAATTTCATGCCGGGAACGGTAATCTGTGTGCGCGCGTTGCCCTCCTACTACCTCCGTTCATGAACTGCTAGTAAAACATCTTATATTCAGGAACAGAGGGAGTAGTTTGCTATGCACACACTTGAGGGTGGATTTTTATTTACTCAAAGATGAAACATCAAAGGAATACAAACATAATGAGCACATATACGGCCTCTGCATATTTATGCACACAATCAACATCAACACACACATTACACTTAATAGAAGCTACCGTGGGCCAGTCCAGGCGTTGGCGCCATTGTTGATTCCGCACAAGAAAAGCAAAGGATAGCCAAGTGAAAGCAGGACGGCGGCTGGAGCGTGTCTCCGTCGAGCCGTCTCCGTTGATTGGTCAATGTTAAACTTTACCGGTGCATGCACTTACGAGAAGCTGCCGCCTGATCAGGCCCAGACGCAGGCGCATGGGCAGGTGCAGACGCCGGTCCAGACGCATGCTCTGGCGTTCGTGCCCGCGCCGGTTTAGATTCCACACATGTGAAGGCGAAGATCACAAGGATGGCTGACGTGAAGGCAGGGCCGGCGGCTCGAACATGTCTCCGGCGGGCCGTCTCCATTGGTCGGTCAATGGCAGCCAATCGACCACGAGCTTGAACCGACCCATCGGAATATGATCGACAGAGAATTAGAGAAAGCAGCGACAGCTGAGCCCGCGCGAGAGGGAGGCCTTCAAAGTAGGACGCGGGTAACTAGCGGACCTCACGTATCTTTAGACTTTAGCATGGTCCGGTTCATGTTCCTGCGACCTGTGTGTACATCGGACGATGTAAACATCGGACCGGGCAACCGCTACGTATGACCAAGCTGACCACTAAGTATGAAATGATGCCATTGAGGCGTAGAATGAATATAGTGTGGTGTGGGTGCCGATGACATGTCGTGGCAGGTCTACCACATGAATGATCACCATGCATGCGCGATCGAACCACGCCACGCACACACGTCATGCTATTTTTTTGACAGGGTAAAAAAATCCCAAAAGAAGTTTCAAGGGCTAAAAAATATGTTTCTCAATCTATTAACCATATCCCTCTCTTTATTTACTATTCAACCAGCTTTACATCAGCCCTTAGCCAAAATGCTATTTTATGAGCAACACATTAAGGCCTGTTTGGTTCCAATAAGTCACCTGACTTATAAGTCAGGTGACTTAAAACCAGTGACTTATAAGTCACGTCTGTTTGGTTGTCACCTGACTTATAAGTCACCTGACCACATCTTCCCACACCAATGCATAACATGAAGGTGCTGGGACCCACGCAAAAGGGGATGCCTTATAAGTTTTAAGTTGGGGTGGAGCAACTTGTGACTTATAAGTTGAGGTGACTTATATGTTGGGTCTGTTTGGCAAAATAAGTCATTTTTCTTCTTCATTTTTTGACTTATAAGTTGGTGACTTATTTGGAACCAAACAGGCCCTTAGCCTCCTAGGTACACAAACGAGGTATAAAGGGAAGCCGCACGCAATATGATAGCAGTCATCAAAGATTTCAGCCGCTGGACTCACATACCGCCCTCCTCCATCCATCGTATTGATAACCTTAAGATTATTTGAATTGACAGTAACCTTATTGTGGCCGATTATTTGTGCTAGGCAAAGACCATATTGCACTGTAGTCGCTTCAGCAGATAGCACATCGGAGAAGAAGTTAATTTGCCAGTTCCCTGCATTTATAATTTTGCCCCTATCATCTTGAATAATTGCACCAACTGTCCCCTTAAGAAGGTCCCGATCAAAGGAAGCGTCCACATTGAGCTTAACATGTCCATTAGGAGGTAGCATCCATCCTCCCAATTTCCTCTTAGCTTTTGGCTGCGTTGCGGAAGCGTAGTTTGGTGTCAACCCAAATCATCGATATTATAGAGTAGAGAGACGACCGGTCTGCCTTTCAGCACACATTCCACGCACACCATCGACAAGACTAGTTTTGAGGTCAACCATAAGAGTGTCATTGTCATCACATCTTCTCGAGCAAGCCACTCCAACTTCATCACAACCAACCACTAAAGTAGTGACCTGCGCAAACAACCATACCAAATGTGTGCTGGTCTATGCCAAACAATTAGCTACTCACGTTGACGGCTAGGCAACTCCGAGTTCGATGATCCATGCCATGCAAGGCTCGCACGACGGAGGTTCAGTGCAACTAGACCGTCCATCACTTGTCACCGTCACCACCAGGACCACACAACAACTTCGACTCCATAGCAATAGAACAAAAGCACGAAGACTCGACAAACATGCCAAAAAATCGAGTACCAATACGTCATCACGACCCAAATACCGAGTTCAGCATCATTGCCACAACAACCACAACGGCAAACCTTCTGCATCGGCCGTTGGGTGCCCACCGACTGCATGCCATGCAACTCCAGGAAAAGTACAGGAGGGATCAAAGATCTTCAAAATGGCACACCAAAGGACAAATTAAGGTTGAAAACAATGCCGCCACCTCACCCGACACCATGATCTTAGCTTTCGCCAGAAGAACAAGAGTCGGGGTGGAGGATCGAAGAACCACAACCAGCCCAATGAGCCAAGCAAAACCTTCGCCCAGAGCATCACCACCACCCAACATCCCTAGACAAATGACTTAAGGACGAGCCACCAGTCTCCAATCGTAACCGACCACGAGCATCAGGGGCGGACTCAACCCAAAAAGCAAATGGGGGCCCAAGCTGAGTGGGGCCTGTCGGTGTCAAAACCGGCAAATCTCGGGTACGGGGGCCCAAACTGTGCGTCTAAGGATCAATAGTAATAATTGAGAAGGGACACGGTGTTTACTCAGGTTCGGGCCCTCTTAATGGAGGTAAAACCCTACTCCTGCTTGATTATATTCGAGGGTATAGGGGTTACAAGAGTTGATCTACCACGAGATGATTCGGCTAACCCTAGATAGCTAGCCTAGCAATGTTATGATCCCGCCTCCGATCTAACCCTCCGGTTTATATAGACACCGGAGGGGCTTAGGGTTTGTACAAAGTCGATTTTACAGAAAGGAACAATATATCCAGACACCTATACTTGCCATCCACACATGTGAGAGTCCCCACCGGACACGAGAGATAATCTTCTGTCTTGTATCTTGATGGCCCATCAGTCCGGCCCACATCTGTAGACCGGACGCCCGAGGACCCCCTAATCTAGGACTCCCACAGTAGCCCCTGAACCAGTCTTCAATGATGATATATTCGTCGCTCAGATTGTCTTCGGCATTGCAAGACGGGTTTCTTAAAGAATACACATCGGCTTTCCTCTGTAAAAGAATTGTATCCGGCATTTCACAATAAATACAACCATTAGCCGCGAAGGCATGATATATAAAAAATGAGAACAATGTCTTTTACTGACAACTTTTCCGGCGAAGCGTCAGACTTGACCTTTCGGCATTTCGAACCGTTTTCACACCCCGCGTTCCGTGTTTCGAGGCCATGCCTCATTGGCATGTCCTATCAAAACAGAGATCGTGCCCACTTAATACGAGATTACATATCAATGATATTTGGGTAATCCAACCGACTGCAGCGCATACCCACATCGGGAACAGACGAGGTTTTAAGGCTAGGGGTGTGGGCGCTCGATATTCACAGCTTATATAAACAGGTAATGATTCATCTTTTCTATCCCACGCCTTCTTCCTTCCTTCGCCTCCCTATCTCCGAGCTCTAGCGCCCGAGCCTGGACACCTCCCACTGCCACCAATCTCTCTAGTCATGTTCGGATCCGGCTTTCAGGGCAAGTGGGTGGCCTCCTCCATTAGGGAGAAGGACATCAAGGATCTCCAGGATGCAGGGTACCTGAGTACGGACATCTCGTACAGGATCCCTGCCAAGAAGCAAGTCATTCCTACCCCGAAGCCCGGCGAAAGGGTGGTATTTATCCCCCACTTCCTCCGCGGACTAGGGTTTCCACTTCACCCTTTTGTCCGTGGCCTCATGTTCTATTACGGGCTAGATTTCCATGATCTAGCCCCAAACTCATTCCTCCACATCTCGATG